ACATGGTGCCACTGCTATGCATATCAGCTGCTTTCAGAAGTGGTGCAGGGCCAGGGCAGGAGTAAGCCTGCCTTAACCTTGCTGCTCCACCGCCCAGAAGCTGTCTCAGTTAAATGGTGCCCAGCCAGAGCCTGCTTCCTGAACCTGTCCTAGCCCTGAACCACCCCCTACACCCAGACATTCCCACAGCTTGAACCCTGACACCCTTCCTGGACTCCAATCCCCCACTGTTTGCTAAACCCAGAGCCCCTCCCACACTCCAGACTCATTGGCCCAAGACCAGAGCCTGTACCCCAATCCCTACCCCCAGCCTGGTGAAAGTGAGTGAGGATGAGGAAAGAAGAGGGGTGGAGTGAGCAGGGTGAGGTCTCAGATAAGGGGTGGGGCAGGGCCTCAAAGAAGGGGCAGGAAGGAAGCTGGGCAAGGCTATTTTGGTTTGAGGTAGATCTTACATTGCACTTAAATTGAAAAAGTGATCTTGTGGTTAAAGATTGGAGATCACTGATATAGACCACTCAGGATTGGTGTTTCTCTCTTCCTTAAAAATCTCAAATGATAGAGATTCCCCAACTTCCCTAGGTCATTTGTTCCAGTGCTTAATATCCTTATACAGATTAAACCTCTAAAATCTGGGACTTCATGGTCTGGCAACTCTGTGGTCCATATTGCTGGGCCAAAGAGTCCTGGCTGGCCAGGTAGTGAGGAGCAGCACAGCCTGGACTGGCAGCAGGGAGCACAGCCCTGCCCAGGAGTGTAGCCCTGGTGGCAGTGGGGCCCGCACAGCTTAGAGCGCAGCCTCACCTAACAGGAGGCAGCAGTGCTGGTGAGTAAAAACACAGCCCTGGCCAGCAGGTGTGGGCAGTACAGCCCCGGTCAGGGCAAGCATAGCAGGGACCATAGCCCCACCTTGGCCAGAGGCAGTGGGGCAGCCCAGCCTGGAGCCTGGGAATACAGCTTGGGCTTGTGACGAGAGCCCAGCCCCAGCTGGGCTGGGGCAGCAACAGGCCTGTGGTGGGGATCAGGGCCAACAGCTGGAAGGGAGCCTGGACCTCCCCTGGTCTGGCAGTCTCTATCATTTGGGACCGCTCAGGTCCCAGAGGTACCAGATCAGGGATGTCCCACCTGTAGCTAGTAAGTTTTTCCTAATGTCTAACCTAAATCTCCCATGTTGCAGTTTAAGCTCATTTCTTCTTGTCCTGTCCTCTGTGGAGGAGAGAGATTTTTTTGCATTCCTCTTCACAACTTTTATTTACTTGAAGATTATGTCCGTCCCTCAGCCTTTTCCAAACTAAACAAACCCTCTTTTTTTAATCTTTCCTCAGAGGTCATGTTTTCTAGACATTTTTATTATTTGTGTTGCTCTTCTCTGGACTTTTTCCTATTTGTCCACATCTTTCCCCAAATGGTGGTTCCTAAAACTGGACCCAGGACTTCAGCTGTTTGCATTTTAAAAAACAGTATTACATTTTGACTCATTTAGTTTGTGATCCACTATGATCCCAGATATGTTTGTCATACTTTTTCTTTGACTATCATTTCCCATTGAGTATTTCTTCCTAAGTATAGTACTTTGCATATGTACTCAATTTCATCAGATTTATTTATTTCAGATCATTTCTCCAATTTGTCAAGATCATTTTGAATAGTAAACCTGTGCCCTAAAGTTCTTGTAACCCTTTCCAGCGTGGTAGTCTTTGCCATTATACAAATTTACTTATGAAGATACTGAATAAATCCAGACCCAGGACAGATAATATGCCCTTCCAACTTGACCATGAATCACTGATAACTACATTCTGAGTATGGTTTTCCAACCAGGTGTACACCCACTTTATGGTAATTTCCTCAACACTGCATTTCCCTAGTTTGCTTATGAGATGGTCCTGTCAGTCAGTATCAAAAGCTTTATTAAAGTTGAGATGTATGACATGTACTGCTTTCCACCATTCACAGTAGTTGTTACACTGTCCTAGAAGGATATTAAGTTGGTTTGATACAATTTATCATCTTCTAGGTGCTTACAAACGGATTTATTTATTCCATTGTCTTTATGGATGCCAAAATTAAGTTGTCTTGTCTATCACTCCCTGGGTTGTCCTTATTCCCCTTTTTATAGATAGGTACTATATTTACCCTTTTCCAGTCCTCTGGGATTTCTCACATCCCTCGTGAGTTCTTAAAGATAATTGCTAATGGCTCAATCTCTTCAGCTAGTTCCTTCTGTATTCAAAATATATTTCATTAGGGCTGGGTGACTTGAAGATCTGTAGCTTGTCCTTTATATAATTTAGCTTTGTAGAACACTAACACTGGAAGGGACCTCAAGAGGTCATTGAGTCTAGACCTCTGCCCTCATGACAGGACCCAGTACCGTCTAGACCAGCTGTGGCCAACCCAAGGCTTGCGAGCCGCATGCAGCTCTCTGTTTCTTCCTTCCTTCCTCTCCCTCCTCCTCCCCCCA